TCCCCGGCCATCCCTGCTACTTCATCCACTGTCTCTTTATAATAACCAGACACCCTTTACACTGCAGCTTAAATCACCAGTTGTTATATTTACACATAGATTTTTACCATCTTGTCTTTCCTTTAAAGGGAAGGTGTTAGCACTTTACATGGCATTGTGTGTTATATAGGGTTAACTTTAAGCATACAGCTGTTAAGCTTGGTTATTAGGCAGGTATGAACTACACGCTGCAGGCAGCATGCTCTTTCACCAGCATTTCTTGCTGCTGGGATACCCACACTAGTTCTTTCCACATTTTACTAGTCTTTTCTATCAGATGAAAACATTCCCACACTCCAATGCAAATTCTGCTGGCTTTTTTTTTTTTTTTTTTTTTTTTTTTTTTTTTTTAACTTTTCCCCACCCTTTCTTTTGGAGACAAGTTAACATTTCAACTGGGGTGGGACATCCAGATAATTTGGTTTCCCAAATCACTGGGGAGGTCACCATGACCGAACGCCGCTATGTGACCATTCCCCACACCCGCATTTGGGACCAGCCAGGCACCTGTTCTGTCTCTTCCTTGCTACTCTTTTTCCAGTAAGGTGGTCTCACCAGGATCCTGCTGTTTGCTCCAACTGTAATGCACCATTTTACCACCTACCTTGGAGGCAGCAACCTGCTCCACCCTGCACTTGCTGACAGGTAGTGCTCTGACCGTCCTCGTTCCTGGAGGAGAAAGAGTGAGAGGTTGGGACTGTCCCAGACCTGTCAGTACACACAAAGAAGAGCACATCCAGAGTGTTACTTATGTAAAAGTTTTATTGGAAATTCTTTGAATATTTGAAGTACATCGGAGACTATTTCCAAAACAATACAATTTAGGAGCCTTCCCCCTCACCCAAACTATCTGTAAATCAGCAGCTACATACATACTGTCCTTAATTGAGCAGACAGCTGCTAAAATAAACAGCCTTCATAACACAATCTGTGGCAGGCCACAGCAGCAGCTAGATCTTTCCTGAAGCAGAGCATTCATGCAGTGGTCGGGGAACTTGGAGCCTAGATGTAGCAACTATGTGTTGAAACTGAGGAATGCCCAAAAAAGAGGCACATAACTCAGCCCTAGAGAGAATCTCCTTATTGCTATGGCCATCCAGCTCAACACTAGCAGCTTATATAGGCAAATTTCCAGCCTTTTGAAGTGAAGAAAAAAAAAAAGTGCCACGCTGACGTTCTGCCTTTGTGAGATGTGGGAGCTGTAGCCATGTTAGGAACTGCATCAACAAATGAGCACAAGTATTTGGCTCAGGGGACCTTCTGGACAGGATTAGCAAGAACAGCATGCTTTCTGCCAACTCCATAGCTTGTCAGTGTGAGGCGAGGACAGCAGTAGCACTGGCTAGATGAAGTTCAACCTAGTCTATTCTCCATTAATTCAGTGTGAACAAGCACTTTACCCCATCTCTGCTGCTTTGCAGCCCAGATGGTGTCAAGCTCCCAAGCACAGCCTGTACCTTAAGAGAAGGGTGACAGCAACCACCCGTCCATGAGCTACTTCCTACAAGGTGGAGAGACCAACTTTCTGAGCAGAGGTGAGAGCCAGTTGATCCATTAATTCCTGCACCCTCCTGCAACCTGTTCCACCTGTAAAACAAGGTGGCTCTGGCTGTGGGGATCAACAGTTTGTTAAAGCCCATGAAACACAAGCCCTCTTGTGAGCTGGTTATCTTGGAAACTTTCTTAAATGTTTGTGCATCTTATTTTGCAAGGACTAGGCAATTTCTGTGTGAGGTTGCTGAAAAGTTGAATTGGCTGAGCAAGCTAAAAAGGTTCTGGTAGGTGCCTTTCCTTCAACAGAGCTCTTACCTAGAGTTTTAGAGCTCACGTGGCCTCCCACTGAACGTATCACTCAACAAAAAAGCTGGTAAAGTCCAAAGCATTGTGTTGCTCTGACTTTACAATAAGCTCTGTTCAGAACTTGGTTCCTTGCTCTAGCAGTGGCACAGAAATAGTGTTCTAGAGAGGAGGTGGGGTTCCCCCATTAGCTGCTAGCAATCTTTCAGTTAAGAATGCAGCAAAGTTGAAGAAGCCGCCACATTGCACTAACTAGAAGGCTGGTTACTCAGCCCCTCCAAGAAAATTTAGATGGTTCCTCAGCACTGAGGCAATACAACCCCACTTCTGGAGGACGAAAGAAAAAAAGTGTTTTACGACAGTGAGAGGTCGTGCAGTTGCTCACTCTAGTTATACATGGAAGGAGAGAGAACCACAAGAACCTACGTTATCCAAGTTTCTGTTTAGTGTCACTGTTTCTCCGCCTGTCCTTACATCAGGCAAAAGATGCACAACAGTCAAATCGACCACAGAGCACTGCCAGCCCATTGCACTGCTGATAGCCACATCATTACAAAAATAAAATTCCAGCTACTCAAAAGCCAGCTGATTAAAAAGTACCATAAGCTCCCAAAAAATGTGCTTCTTTAAAGAAGCTGCCTTCTGAATGGCTGAAGAACACTGCAAATTCATCCATGCCTATCAGAATACAGCTTTTTACCAAGTCCCTGCCACTCCACTACACCGATGTGTGCGTTTCATTCTACCCATGGGCCCTGACTGGATGTAATGGACACATCGTTCCCAGAACAGAGTATTATATTAGAATAATCAAGTCTGTCTTAGAAAATAAATATCTTGGATATTTTCCTGCAAAGAGAGACCAGTCTCACTGGCCAGGGTTCCATGGCACATCTGCTGTCTGCAGTGATCCAGGGCAGAATGACCTGCACTACTACATGAAAACAGAACATCTTTTAAATATAGGTTTCTTTAAAAGCAATAAATATTTCTTGATTCTTAAGATCATCTATTAACCATAAAGCAGGAAGGTTTGCAAGGGTTAGAGGAAAGAATCTTGGACTAAGACTCCTAGTTACATAACCCTAAAGAAATAGGATTCCTAGTATTTACAGTTAACATTTCAGAAGCAGAGGCTATGAATTCAGCATCATCACAGCTGCTACATGCAGGCTTGCCAACAGTCAACACTGGTAAACACGGCGTGGCCGAGTGTCAGTATACTCAGGAAGGAAATGCGGAAAGCGCTTCTGTAGTTTCATTCTAACAGAAGGCCTCACACAGAACAACTGCGTAGAGACCCAGTTCCTTAGAAGCAGGAAAACAAAGGTAACTTGTATTACACAGGTCCCAAAGCTGACGTCTCTCCCTGGGCTCCAGGCACTCACACCGAGGTCAGGATGAAATGCCCCCTTCTGTGGAATGGATGTCCTGGACTTAAAACTGCTGAATCTGCTGAACTCACAGACCCTGGAAATGAGCCAAAGCTTTCTATGCTCTAACAGGGTTGGAGACTGTAGGAAAAAAGTCTGTTAGCAAGAAGGTATGCCTAGGGAACTTACACCACAGGACCTCTGGAGGAAGCATATGACAACTTTTCACAAAGCCCCTCCACACAGAACAGAGACTGAGGAGAAAATAATTGGAGTTTGACTTCCTGTGTCCCTACTGAAGTCTTAGATTCAAAACTGACTGTGAGCAGGAAAAGCGATCCAGAGCTATGTGGTGGTGTACTTGAGGAAAATCAGCAGATGAGCTGCTACCTGCTGTTGAAGCGGGCAATCAAAGAAAGCTCACTTGATGGAAGGAAATGGTCAAAGTGAGACAAAAGGCAAAGCAGGGGCAATAGAGATATTTTTTGATGTCATTCCCCAGGATGCCTTGAGGAAGAAGAACTGCTGCAGCAGAACTGGAAAACAACTTCACTGCAAGGTTTCTACAAAGGCATCAAACTCTTTGACATTTTTCTCATGGACTGCCAGCTTCTCTGGTAACGAGTCCTGGAAGGATAAAGAAGGTTGCAAATCAGGGCTCATTCACAGCAGGTGAAAGGAAGCTTTAAACACACACTCCAAGATAAAAATTCTGTTTCTGGGTCACACAACCCCTCCCCCCTGTTCTGGGCTCCCCTTCCCACGTGCACAAAACCAGGAGGCCTCTGACAGCATCCAGCAAGTGACCGTGAGAAGGTCACTCTGCCCAGAGGGCATTTGTTCTTCAGGAACAATAGGTGCACTGGGGCCTTGCCTTGTGCAATTCCCACCACCAGCTGCAGCACAATAACCTGCTCATGTCACTGCCTTCATCAAGTCACTTGCAGTGCTTGACCTTTGGTATCCATTTTTCCCCACAGTATGTTACAATGCCTGCGAGCCCAATACAGCACTCGCCCAGACATGACTCTCACCAGCCACTCCAGGATTTTACCTCTGCTCAGGCTGCAAGATCAGGCCTAGTTTTGCCATTAAGTTTGACATGCCAGAGGTAGGACTAGTTTTGGAGGTTTCAATGACAGCCACAGCAAGCATGTGGCAGCAGCTTTCAGCTTGAAGATAAACACACCCATTTCAGAGGCTCAGGTGTGCCACAAATAAATTTGTATTTGTCTGGAACATACTAGTGAGGGACCTCCTTTGGGCAGGGTCTGTCTTCCAAGAAGTACAGGAAAGACATGGACCTGTTGGAGCTGGTCCAGAGAAGGCCTCAAAAATGCTCAGAGGGAAGGAACACCTCTCCTGTGAAGACAGGCTGAGAGAGTTGGGGTTGTTCAGCCTGGAGAAGAGAAGGCTCTGGGAAGACCTTATTGCAGCCTTCCAGTACTTAAAGGGGGCTTATAAGAAAGATGGGGATGGACTTTTTAGCAGGGCCTGTTGCAACAGGACAAGGGGTAATGGTTTTAAACTAAGAGGGTAGATTTAGACTAGGTAAAAGGAAGAATTTTTTCTCAATAAGAGTGGTGAACCACTGGCACAGGTTGCCTAGAGAGGTGGCAGATGCCTTATCCCTGGAAACATTCAAGGTCAGGTTGGATGGGGCTCTGAGCAACCTGGTCTAGTTGAAAATGTCCCTACTCATTGCAGGGGGGTTGTACTAGATGGCCTTTAAAGGTCCCTTCCAACCCAAATTATTCTATAATCCTATGAAGATATGACTTTTTTTCAAACTAGGAATAGGGAGAGCATTGTAAAGTACGTATGATTCCCACAAACAGAAATTTCAGGGTTTCATACCAAATCCTCTGCCATGGACTGTGCTCCAATGTCAATAGAGAGGCTGCTGAGTTGAGGGGGGTTCTGAAACTCACGGTAAAACGTCCCCAGGTCCATTGGAAGAATATCATCTTTTGAAAATGCTGGTTTCTAGAATCAAAGATACTGTTGTTAATTCCCATTCAGAGACATTGGCTTCCCTTTTGCCATAATCTCAAGTAAAGTCATTATCCGCTATCAGTAAACATCTTGGCATTACAACTGTTGCTGCAATAATGCAGATTAAATAGCTGAACAGCTAAGATCTTTGCTTGCCTGAGCTCTTGGAAAGAGCATTTCCTTGGAATCTGGCTCCTTCAGGCTTTAGAGAGAGGACACCAAGCCCAGGTGTTGGTAGGGAACTGAAAGAGTATTTAATTTGTAGCTGTTGGTTCTGGGTATCAGCATCTGTGTAGTTTTGGGACTGTCAAGCTCTAGTTTTGATACTGTGAATGATGGGTCTTTTCCACCCTCATTGAAAATTACTTTTACATCATTTGCCATTGTACCAGCACCTGAAGCCCATCTAAGATGCAGGTGTTATGTGAGAGCACTGATGAGGGCACTTACAAAATCAATCATAACGAAGTCATCATGGGTGTTCCCTGTGCTGCTGCCACTGGAGCCCTCTGAGTGTAAGCTGCCTTGTAGAGGAGATTCTGTTTCTGGGGAGTCAGGAGGATTGACCTGCCCAAGAAACCAAAGATGGTGAGTAATGATTTTATGATTGTGCCTGTGTGTTTTGACAGCATGGGGGCAGTTAGGATGTTGGACAATAAACATATGCTACAGCAGGGGCAAACACATATTGTTATTTACACATCTAAAGAGCCTAAGACTCAACATGGGAGGCTTCTTGAAACCAAACAAATTTGAATAACTAGTTCTTTGCTCAAAAAACAAAGTGTATTCAAGGTAGGGAATAGCATGGATGTTGCATAAGGGATGCTGAGAAGGCACATATTATACCTCTGGAAGAGGCTTACCATGGGGTCGTTATCTTCCAGCTCAACATTCTTGGGAGCAAACATGGCAAAAGGAATGTCTAAGTTGGCCATGGTCACCTGAGGAGATTCAGCAAACAGAATTTCACTAAGTTGCTCTGCTTACCCAGCACAGAAAATGATATTGAAAGTCTTTGTCAGGCCTGCTAAAAATTGTCCAATATCACGTTAGCAGTTAGGCAGGGGCTGACAACCTCATTTAAAAGGCATAAAATTAGGTCAGTACTCTGCTGACCTAATGTAGATACATACCCTGAGGTGGGATTGCTTATGTACATCTTGTATAATATAGGCAAGGATTAACAAACTGCTACAAATTCAAACAATTCTCCTTCATCCATCCAAAATACCTAGAAGAGCAGCCCTAGGAACTGGGCAGGTCTCTAAGCTGCCCTAGCTGAGCTTAAATACTTGCTTACTGGTCTACTGCATGTCCCTTCACGGAAGGAAGGCTTGCTACTAGCTTGCCCAGTTTATGAACCTGCAGTAGTGGCAGATCATTGTGAGACCCAAGCAGAGTATCAAGTCCTTCATTCCCAAATAGGGTGTTGGCAAAGTGCAAATTCGATGGCTGTCATATCCCAAAAGGATTTTCTGAAAAACAAGCCTATGATGTGATCTTGTAGG